CGTAGCCACCATGAATATTTCTGAAATCTTCTACCACTCTACCGACATGCCCATTTAAATCTCCTCCAATAAAAATTCTTTCTTCAAGAGGTATCATTTGTATTAAGTCTTCTAAGTCATTCCAAAATTTATCTTTAGACCCTGTATCTAAACCTACTTGAGGAGCATAAACACTTATAATATTAAAAATCTTAGTATCAATGATAATCTTAAGGGCTATAATTCTATCACCAACTCCATTAATTTTTACAATATTATCTTTCAAACTCTTATCTATAATTACACCTACACCATTTCTAGTGCGACTCTTACCAAAATACCAAAGTTTAAAACTTAAATTATCAATCTCTTTAGCCTTTTCTCCAACCCACTTAGTTTTTTGAATACATACGATATTAATTTTCCTATGAATCATAATATCAACTAATTCCATTAATTTGTCATTGAGAGTGCCTATATTCCAAGATCCTATCATAATATTAGTTTCATTAATTTCATGGACTAACTTCTTTACCCGCATTCGCCCGTAATGAGGGAACCCTTGCTTATTTAACACTACACCCGGGCGTCGGTGTAGCGACCCTTGCACACTTTTCACTGTATTCAGGCTATACAGCACGTCGCTTCCAGGGGACGCCCTAGCACTTACACAATGATAAAAAGGATTCATGTCATGATTTTTTCGACAAGTTTTACGCTGGCTGTCGACTACCTAACGCAACCCTCCACTTTTCGCATCCGGCCTTGGGACCGGCAACGGCAGTGTTAGCAATTTTTACTATAAATTGGAATTTAATAAATAGGTATTTATTTTAAAAAAATTATTTTATAAACTTCATAATATGAATATTTAGGTATATATCTCTTAAAATTTTATTTTAAAAAATATGTTGGAAGTTTTATTGAGGGTGTACATAAAAAATATATCATAAAATTTCGAGGAAATTTGATAGGTCTAAGAGAATTTCATCTAGATAGTAAAATAGTCATGTTACATCATTTGGTATTGAAACCAAATGGTACTCGCTAACTCCATAGATCTACTTATTTATGAATCCAATCCATTAGCGAACAACTATTGTCTCATCACACCTACGTCAATCAACCATTTTTTTCCTCAACTAAGATAAATATAAAAATATCACCTCCAACATTTACTCAGTATCAATGGGAATAATTAGAGGATAACTTGAGACAGAAGAATATCCAAGTGGAATTTGATCTGGAATATGAATCTTCTAGGGAGAATTTAACTAAAATTTTAAGAGACCTAGAATTATCATATAGAGATCCATTTCTTATAGATTTTAAAGATGATATTAATATGCAAATTGAGACTATCAATAGAAGAATATTGGATTTAGAAAGAAACTTGAGGAATAATATTTGTAATCAATTTGAGAAGTTGAAAGAAATTAAAAATTGAGGATTTAGTAGGAATCCTAGGATCTGAAAAAGATTTGGTGATTGATCGGTGTTTACTTAAATGGAAATTTGATCTAGAAGGAAATCCTTTGAATGGCTAGCGACATTAAATTAAGCACTTCGTGGGAGGCAGCCTGACCCGACCCGCAATTACGCAATAATTTTGCTTGCAAAAGATGACCAAAAAAACTTGAACCAAATTTATATTTAGCGGCTAGTGTGTAAAATTATACAAAATTAAATAATGTTATAAAATTTAAAAAATAGATTACACACTATGAGTACTATGCAAGTATATATATCGTTTCAAGTAATATAGATTTTTCTTTTAAAACCTAGAGTATTGATCCCACAGAAAAGTGAGATAAGAAAGCCCTTGGACGAAATCCTAATTTACTACTATGAGGCCTTTATTTGGAATGTCGATTAAATTGGTTTTTCTAACAACTCGTACTACTAAAGGAAAATATTAATTCTAAAGATAACTTATTTGGATTAATTGGTTCGGAGAATTTTGAGATGTTAAAGATTAACCTTCTAGTGCGATGACCTAAATAATGTATAGGAATGAAATGCTTAAAATATAATGTTGCAATGATAAATAGAAGCATACATATTCTTTACTTCTTTTGATTGTGTAAAGAATATTAGCTAATCTAAAGTTAGTCTCGGTGTGTATAGTAGTGTTTGGTTGACTCTAGTCTCTCACTCCTAGATTACCCATTATGCCCTCTCTATAAGACCTACCAGTGACCCTTATTTCCAATCTCTAGACAAAATTGATAAAAAAATTTAGTCTGTCACCCTAGAAACATCAATTCTACGCTCATCAAATTTTATCTCTCTATCTATTTGCACTCCCCCTCGGACGATCGCCACTGCTCTTTCCAAAGTGAAATGTGGTACTCACTAGTTGAAAAAATCTTAGCCCTCTCGGCTCTATAAGTTTCTCAACAAATTTTAACAATACAAGTAATCAATTTACAAAGTAAAATAAGAGCCGTTGAAAATACCATCACATTTATGAAATAAGAGAATTTCTAAGCAAATCTAAATTCCTAAACACACATCCAATTCATTACAAAAGAAAAGTAAAATGAAGATAATGACCTAATAAGTAAAAGAATTGATAAAATTATGTAATAAACTAAGTGCCAACAAGGAACATATATCTACCTACCATCTTTCAAGCATATAGGTATGCT